AGCGAGGCTCCATCTCAAAAAAAAAAAAGAAAAAAAGAAAAAGAAAAAGAAAAAACTTAATGAAGAATGCAGATGTTAGTTTGTCCTTGGAAATCCCATCGCTCTGTTGTCTTCTTGGCAAACTCCTACACTTCCTTTAAGATCTCTCAAAGCATCACCTCCACCAGGAAGCCTTCTCTGATGGCCTCTATCCTCCAGGCTAGGTCCGTAGTCCCTTCTAGGTTCCCACAGTGCCCGTGTTTCCTCCATTTTCACTTGTATCTCTGTATTGGGATGGTCTGTTTCCTCCTTTAGACTAAGATGTGTTTGAGGGCGGAGACTTACTATTATCCATCTCCAGGTCCCCAGCATAACCCGGAATAGGATCTAGGCCACCAGAATCCTCAGAAAATATTTATAAATAAATATACAAATGAAAACATGCTTTTCTCCCTCTGCTGAACTCCAACTTATGCTTTAAAACTCCCAGCCAAATGTCTCTTTTTCCAAATGTTTTCTTACGACTCCTGCAGAAAGTTCTTTATCTCTCTATACTGGGCTCAAACTTCCATGATCACACCTGCTGGCCTATAATGTGACAGCATAGTCCCATGTCTATTTCCTCCAGAGAACTTCATAGGGCAAAAACCCCACGTAATTCATCTTTGGATCCAGCCCTGAAGAAACCCCTCAGAAATACAAGTGAATCACGCCTTTCCACCCTTTTAAGAACTCCTATTCAACCTTCAAAACCCAACTCAAATATCCCCTTTCTATATTTGTTGAATAAGAGGACTGAAGGTTACAGTCCCTGGTCAATGGGGACTGAGGCTGGTGGGGGTGGTCAATCGCACTCACCTGCAGGAGCAGCTTGCGGTAGCGGTCATTGAGCAGCTCTGAGTTGCTCTGCTCCTCCTCCAGCTCTTCCTCCAACTGCCCCAGGCGCCCCTCCAGCTGACGCTTCTCCTCCAGAATGGCTGCCCTAGGGAGACAGGAAGGGGTGGGGATGACAGGACAGGACAGTCAGAGGTGGGTACCTTGCCTGTAACACTATAGGACCCTGTGGTTGGCCCACCCTCCTCCCCAGCCTCATACCTCAGGGGTCCCTAGGTTAACCCCGCCCACCTGCCAGCTTCCTGTGCCAGAGCCCAGCCATCTCCAGCCTACCCCAGCTTCACCTCCTGCAGATGCAGCACCTCAGCCTCCACACCCTCGGGGCACTTACTTGCTAAGGTTGCCATTGGCCACCTCATCTGCCATCTCATCCCGGTCCTGCGCTGCCTGCCGCCGAGCACGGTCTGAGGCGGCCAGTTCCTGTGATGACAGAGAGAGGGGTGGCCAGTGGGGGTGAGGAAAAGCAATCTGGGCACGGGTCTAACCCCCTCTCTGTCCCTCACACCTCAAGTCTCTTGGCTCTTTTCTCATGCTGTCCCTGGGTAACCCTGGAATGACATCCACAGATGTCTCCTAAATCTGTCTTCTGAGCCCCTGACCTCTTGCAGCCCAACCTCCAGGCCCCTCACCCTCTCCACCTTTTACTGCACACAGGTTCTCCTCTCAAACCTGCCTCTCCTCCAGGGTCCCCCAGTCACCGAGCCAGACCCCCAGTGCTCTCCTCCCCTCCTCTGGCCCCCCTCACCATAGCCTCCTCCCTCCTGCCTTCTCACTGCTTTCTCTGTTCTCTGCACCTGCTTGGCCCTGGCTGAGGGTTCTCTCTCTCTCTCTCCCCATTCCCACTCCCCCTCCCACAGCCTTTGTGCCTCCAATCTCCCCACTCCATTTCAACTGCTACAGGGCTGACCCTACCCATCCTCTGTTCTGGATCTTTCCATGGCTCCCTAGTGCCCTAGGACAAAATTCCTGCTCTTAGCCTGGCGTTGGAGGCCACATGGTGAGCCCAATCCACCTCCCAAGCCTCACACCCAGGGACCCTGTGGTTAGCCGCACCCCCCAGCCTCATACCCCAGGGTTCCTGTGGTTAGCCCCGCCCACCTCTCCAGCTTCACACCCAGAGATCCTGTGGTTAGCCACGCCCACCTCCCCAGGCTCACACCCAGGGACACTGTGGTTAGCCCCGCCCACCTCCCCAGCTTCCCACCCAGGGACCCTGTGGTTAGCCCCGCCCACCTCTCCAGCTTCACACCCAGAGATCCTGTGGTTAGCCACACCCATCTCCCCAGGCTCACACCCAGGGACCCTGTGGTTAGCTCCACCCATCTCCCCAGGCTCACACCCAGGGACCCTGTGGTTAGCCCCGCCCACCTCCCCAGGCTCACACCCAGGGACCCTGTGGTTAGCCCCGCCCACCTCTCCAGCTTCACATCCAGGGACCCTGTGGTTAGCCCCGCCCACCTCCTCAGCATCACACCCCAGGGGCCCTGAGGTTAGCCCTGCCCGCCTCCCAGCTTCCTGTCCCAGGGCCCAGCCCACCCCAGCCTCACCTCCTGCAGCCGCAGCACCTCAGCCTCCAGGCCCTTGAGGCGCTTTTCACTTTCCCGATTCTGGGAGAAGATCTCCTCCCGGGAGCTGCGTGTCTCCTCCACCTCCCGCCATAGCTCCTTCATCTGGGCCTGGGTGGGACGGAATAGGTAGACGGGCTCAGCCTGGCCACACAGCACAGGGAACTCCTCCACCCCCTTGCCAGGTCGACGGGGGCTCCTCAGCTCCCGTGAACAAGCAGGGAGTTCTCCGAACCCTGCAGACCTGGGCTCCTGTGTATAAAGCCACTTGCTGTGTGACCTTGGGCCAGCCTCTCCATTCTGGTCCTCAAGGGAGGAGGTTGATCTGGCTGAGCCTAGAAGGCAGCTGGAAGCCTGATGGAGCCTGGCTTCAAGTTAGACGTGGGTTTGAATTACAACTTGGCCATATCCTTGCTGGGTGACCATGAGCCGGCCACTGCCCCTCTCTGAGCCTCAGTTTGCCTACTGTTTATTTATTTATTTAATTTCTATTTTTACTTTTTTGAGACAGTCTTGCTCTGTCACCCAGGCTGGAGTGCAGTGGTGGGATCTCAGCTCACTGCAACCTCCGCCTCCTGGGTTCAAGTGATTCTCCTGCCTCAGCCTCCTGAGTAGCTGGGACTACCACCACCATGCCTGGCTAATTTTTGTATTTTTAGTAGAAACGGGGTTTCACCATATTGGCCAGGCTGGTATTGAACTCCTGACCTCAGGTTATCTGCCTACCTTGGCCTCCCAAAGTGCTGGGATTACAGGTGTGAGCCACCGTGTCTGGCCAAAAAACCACAGGGTATTTTCACTTCAAAAACAAAAACCACAGAGGCGGGTGGATCACTTGAGGCCAAGAGATCGAGACCATCCTGGCCAACATGGCGAAACCCCATCTCTACTAAACATACAAAAATTAGCTGGGTGTGGTGGCGCACATCTGTCATCCCAGCTACTCGGGAGGCTGAGACAGGAGAATTGCTTGAACCCGGGAGGCGGAGGTTGCTGTGAACTGAGATCACATCACTGCACTCCAGCTTGGGTGACAGAATGAGACTGTCAAAAAAAAAAAAAACGGCCGGGCACGGTGGCTCAAGCCTGTAATCCCAGCACTTTGGGAGGCCGAGACGGGCGGATCACGAGGTCAGGAGATCGAGACCATCCTGGCTAACACGGTGAAACCCCGTCTCTATTAAGAAATACAAAAAAAAAACTAGCCGGGCGAGGTGGCGGGCGCCTGTAGTCCCAGCTACTCGGGAGGCTGAGGCCGGAGAATGGCGTGAACCCGGGAGGCGGAGCTTGCAGTGAGCTGAGATCCGGCCACTGCACTCCAGCCTGGGTGACAGAGCGAGACTCCGTCTCAAAAAAAAAGAAAAGAAAAAAAAACAAAACTGAACAAACAAAGAAACAAACAAAAAATGAGGAAATTTGACTTAAAAGTGCAGCATTTTAAATGAAAGAAATGTGAAATATAAGAAGGAAGCCAGCCTCTGGGGCATGGATGTTTATAAAGGCGCTGACCCATGTGGATGCTGCCTGTGGGGAGAGGGAGGGGTCCGAGCTGGCCTCAGACCCTGCAGTGATGGTCGGGGCTTGAAGATACCAAAGCCTCCCCTCCCTGGCACAGCTCACGCCCCGCCCTTACCTGCATCTTGCGAAGCTGCTTCACCGCCTCCTCCTTGCCCTGTCCGGCGGAGGCCATTTGAGCCTTCAGCTCCTCCAGCTCCCCCTCCAGCTTCTTGCGGGCAGCCACGGCCAGAGTGCGCTGTTTCCGCTCCTCATCCCGCTCCACCTCTGCATCTCTCAGCTGGAGAGGAGGTCAGGAGGGACTGGGTCAGGGACAGAAAACCCAGCCTCCCTCTGCGTGCTGGGGACATGGATGTCTACCCTGGAGCTCCTGCCCAGGCTGCAAGCCCCGTTCCTCTCACCCCCTGACTCTCCTTACTTGGTCCCCTCTCTATCTCCACTGCCCCAGCTCAGTCCCCCATCTCACCTAAGCCTCCTTTCCAGCCTCTCATCTCTCCCCTCCAGTCCATTCCAACACATCTCCAGAGCTGACCCTACTCAGAGCCCTCCCATGGTTCCCCAGTGCCTCCAGGGCCAAGCCTTGGACACTCAGCCACGTCTAAGTCAAAGGGGCTACTGGAGACAAAACCCCGCGGAGACCCCTGGCCTTAGGTCACCCGTTCACCTCTCTTCCCTGCCTCCCCAGCTTCTAGCACCCTCTTCCCCAAGTCTGTTGCCCACATGGCTCCAGAGGGGTCTTTCTGATACCCAGAGCTGCCCCTGCCCCTCACCACCTAGTAGAGGGAAGACATGGGAAGTTCCTGAATGAGTAATGAATGAACGGTGCAGGGAGGGAGACAGTAATGGAACAAACAAGGAAGCAAGGGAGCGATGACTGACTGGATTGGGGAAGGATATGGATGGAGGGGAGGGCAGATGAGCAGGTCAGTGAGTGAGTGACTGAGTGGAGTCAGCAGGGGGTGCTGAGGGCCTGGGGTTGGGTAAATAGGGGAGGGGTTGGGTTGGGGAGAGGAGATGGGTCGGAAGCGGGTAACTGGGTGGATGGAGCAGGAGTTGGACATGGCATTGGCTGGGTATTAGCGCTGGTTGGGGGAGAGGCTGTATGTGGGTGGTTGGGGTGGTTGAATAGATGGGGTGGCAGATGGATGGATGAATGGTTTGGTGGATGGAGGATGTATGACTGGGTACAGCAACAGGTCAACAGGATATGTGTGTGGGTTAATGGGTCATGGCAGGTTAACAGGTTGGGGAATAGGAAGATGGTTTTGTGGGAGGAAGATGGTTTGGCTGGCAGGAGAGACTGGTAGAAATACTGAGTGGCAGGCGGGTGGGGAGACACTGAGCAGTGGAAGGGTTGGGGGAGACAGAGTGGTGGGTGGGGAGACGCCTTGCTGACCTTCTTGCTGCCTGTACACACCATGGCATACCCCAGCTGGACTGGCACCCTGTGGCCTTCCGTGTGACAATACCTGCTTGGCCAGCTGTCTCCGCCTCTCTTCACCAGCCTCATCACGGCCCTGCAGGTCACGCTCGTGCTGAGTCTTGAGAGCCTGCACAGTCACCTCCAGACGCAGCTTGGCATCCTCGGCTGCCGTCAGCTCATCCTCCAGTTCCGTCACCTGTGCTCGCAGATCATTGGCTGCCTGTTCTGCTACCCGGCAGGCTCGTTCCAGCTCATGCACCTGGTGGGGAGGGAGAGTGGCTGCTGGGCACTTGGGTCACTGAGGCAGAGGAGGTTACGAGCCTAGGTAGAGTAGGGGAAGCTTTGATGGAGGACGGGGAGGTGGCAAGTCAGTGTGCCCATCCTAGTTTGTTCATTCATCCATTCAAAATCTACTGAGTGACTCCTTCCTAGGTGTCTCATCCAGCATCATCCCAAAATGTATTTCATGAATAACTGATGCTTCATAATTCTATCAGCTGAAGCACTTCAAAGTCTAATACAAGCATCTGTTAGGTCAGCTGACTCTCACTCATGGTGGATTATTCCCTCTGAGTTTTGTAATTTTGCATTGTGAGCTCACTCACTGGGAATTCATCTTCGGGAATCCTGTGTGAATGGGTCGAAGGCAGGTAGCTCCACGGTCATCAGTGCTGGTGTCTGCCAGACTCCCCAGGGTGTCACCAACCTACTATCTACTTGTATTGGGTTTTCTGGGAGGGTCCCCAATCTTTCAGGGAAGTACGAATTAAAACCCCAAACACTGTGAAAATGGAGCTGAGCTTATGAATTTTCAGAGACTCCCCCTTCACTCCTCTCCTTACTTAACAATCACCTCCTCAGGGAAGCCTCTCTTGACCCATCAGGGCCTCTCTGCTACCCATGCTCCTGGCACTGGGGCCCCTCTCGTACCTAGCCCTAGTCACAGTGGTCATTTGACATTTGCTTAGGTGGCTTTTTGTGCAACACCCGCCTCCTGCACTGGACGGTGAGTTCCACAGAGAAGGGCCTATGTCTGTGGATCACCACTGCCCACATGATACTCATTACAATTCTGGTCACTGACAGTATCTACTTTCAGTCCTTGGAATGGGCCCTCTAGCCTCCCTTCCTGTTTGGTAGTTGCCAACTTATTTTGTTTACTTGAAGGGATCAAACTTTCTTCCCATCAACATCCTGTTTCCCACAGGGGCCTTTGGAGTCACTACAAATAACGACATTTTTCCCAAGGGACAGACCTTCACGGCTCAAGTAAGAGCCAGGTTTTAGCTCCATTATCCCTAGGGCCGCAGGCCAGGTCTGTGTCAGGGAGAGAGGGCTCTCTCCAGGCCTGGCTAAAAGCAAAATCAGATCAACGTCTAAGTGTGTGGAGAAGATAAAGCCCTCATCCACTGGACTCCTAGAAGCGCATTGGTGGGAAAATAAAGAAATAAAGATGTTGAGATGGCGTCTATTCAGGAGCTCAACAAATTCTGCCAGTGCCTCCCATCATTAGTGAGGGTGGCCTGTGTCCCTGGGTATAATCCATAAATGTATTTAGAGGATGAATGAAGGAAGGATGGAGTGGAGGATGTGGCGGGTCATTTTGACCACTCGGAAGGCTGGGACACTGGTTGGGTGAGGAGAGCCTGGGAGCAGCCTTGGGGCACCACCCTACAGGCCCTGGAGGGATATATGAGTTCAGAGAAGACAAAGGCTTGGTGGGAGAGTCTATGTGTGCTCAGTAGGGTTGGTGGCAGGCAAAGTGGGAGTCCTCACACTGTGTGTGCATGTGTGTGTGTGTGTTGTGTATGTATGCATGCACATAGTCATGTCTGGAGAGTGGTTCTCAGGCTGTGTGTTGTAGTAAATTGTCTTCATCTTCTCTGAGCATTCACACATATGTGTGGTGAGTAGTTTTCTCATGCTGTATGTGTACATATGCACATGAATATGTGTATTTAATGGAAAATCCTCAACAAGGTACAATGGCTCATGCCTGTAATCCCAATGCTTTGGGAGGCCAAAGTGGGAGGATTGTTTGAGCCTAGGAGTTCAGGACCAGCCTGGGCAACACAGCAAGACCCCATCTCCACAAAAAAATTTTAAAAAGCCAGGTATGGTGGAATGCACCTATAGTCCCTGCTACTTGGGAGGCTGAGGCAGGAGGACTGCTTGAGCCTAGGAGCCTGAGGTTGTAATGTGCCATGATTGCACCACTGCCCTCCAGCCTGGGCAACAGAGCAAGACCTTATCTCAAAAATAAAATAAAACAAAACAAAAAACAAACAAAAACAAATAATAGAAGATTCTCCTCATATCCCACATACACAAATGTGAGCATGTGTGCTTTGTGAGCAGCTCTCGTGCTCTGTGTGTGAACACATGTGCTGGATGAAAGATTCTCCTCACGTTCCGTGAATGTCTACACAAAGACCTACCTCTGGCTCTCCTTACTTTCTATGCATGTGCATGAACACACATATTTGGTGGAAGATTCTCTGCATGCTGTGTGTGTGTATCTGTGTGTGTGTATACAAACACAAATGTTTGGTGAACAGTCCTCCTCTTGTTCTTTTTTTTTTTTTTTGAGACAGAGTCTCGCTCTGTCACCCAGGTTGGAGTGCAGTGGAATGATCTTGGCTCACTGCAACCTCCGCCTCCTGAACTCAAGTGATTCTCCTGCTTCAGCCTCCCAAGTAGCTGGGATTACAGGCATGTGCCACCATGCCTGGCTAATTTTTGTATTTTTAGTAGAGATGGGGTTTCACCATGTTTGCCAGGCTGGTCTCAAACTCCTGACCTCAGGTGATCCACCCACCTTGGCCCCCCAGAGTGCTGGGATTACAGGCATGTGCCACCATGCCTGGCTAATTTTTGTATTTTTAGTAGAGATGGGGTTTCACCATGTTTGCCAGGCTGGTCTCAAACTCCTGACCTCAGGTGATCCACCCGCCTTGGCCTCCCAAAGTGCTGGAGTGCTGGGATTATAGGAGTGAGCCACTGTGCCTGGCCCTCTTGTTCTCTTTGTGTGTGAATATATGACTTTGATGGCTGGTTGTTTTCATGTTCTATGTGTGGAAGCATACATGCCTGTACATGTCTTCCCCTCACCCAGTGTGTCCCGGGGAGTGGGGGCCCTGCTCACGCTCTTGCCGACGTCATCCTTGCTGCTCAGCAGTGCCTCCAGCTCAGCCCGCAGCGCCCGGTTCTGCCGCTCCAGCTCCTCACGTGCCTCCTGCTCCTCCTCCAGTGCCCGTGTCAGTGACAGGGCCCGAGCCTCACGCTCCCGGCCCTCTGCCTCGGCCCGCTCACGTTCCTCCACTGCCCGAAGTACAGCTGCCTTCTCCTCTGCCAGAAGCTTCCAGTTTGAGGGAGATGGGGTGGGGGGAAATAGATTAGCTGAAAGGAGTGTACAAGGGAACGGGAAGAGGGAACAGCCAGGAACAGAGAAAGAGAGAGAAAGAGACAGACAAAGGCAGAGACACAAGAGGGAGGTAGAGGGATTAAAGTTGCAACCGTGTCCCAAACCAGCTCAACTCTTGAATGGATCAAACTGATCAGTCCCTAACTCTCTATGCTCAACAGAAGAAAGGGTATTCCTTCCTGTTAAGAGTGGCAGTAGAAAATGAACTTCAACCTTTACTGTTTTTTTAAGACACAGTAATTGGCAAACAAACTTATAAAACATGCAAAGAAAAGAGAACAGGACTCATGGTGAAGAGAAAAATCAGTCCATACAAACAGACCCACAGATGACCTACATATTAGAATGTGCACACAAGGACTTCATGATGAGTTTCAGAACGAGGCAGATATAATGGGTGAAGAGGCAGAGTTATTTCAGGAGGGATTTGAAACTGTAAAACAGAACCACATAGAAATGCTAGAATTGAAAAATGAAATAGCTGAAATAAAAAAGTCATTGGATGAAATTAGTAGCTGACTGGACACATCAGAAGAATCAAGTGAACTTGAAAACAGGTCAATAGAAATTATCCAAACAGAGCAAAGAAAGAAAGAAAGAAGATTGTAACAAAAATTAATGGAACTTTAACAACCTGAAAAAAGTACCAAGCAGTCATACATACATGCATTTGAGTCCTAGAAGAGTAAAGAAAAAGTAAAGAAAAGTAAAACTGCCTTTGTTCACAGAAAACATGATCATCTATGTGGAAAATTCAACGAAATATATAAAAACTCTGTTAGCACTAATAAGTGAGTTTAGCCAAGATTGTAGGATACGAGATCAATATATAAAAATCTATTGTGTTTCTACATACTAGCAATAAAATATGGAAATGAAAGTAACATCACTCAAAATAGCCATAAAACCATGAAATACTTAGAAATACATCTGGCAAAAGATGTCAAAGATGTACACTGAAAACTAAAAAACATTTCTAAGGTATTTCAGTGGACATATATACCATCTTCCTCAGTGAGAAAACTCAACATTGTTACGATGTCAATTCTTCCCAAACTGATGTATAGATTCAACACAGTTCCAAATCGGAAGGCTTTTTGTTTTGGGGTAGAAATTGACAAACTGATTCTAAAATACATATGGAAATGCAAAGGAACTAGAAGCGGCAAAACAACTTCAAATAGAAGAAAAGGCTGGTGCAGTGGCTCATGCTTGTAATCCCAGCATTTTGGGAGGCTAAGGCGGGCAGATCACCTGAGGTCAAGAGTTCGAGACCAGCTGGCCAACATGGTGAAACCCCGTCTCTACTAAAAATACAAAAATTAGCCAGGTGTGGTGGCACACACCTATAATTCCAGCTACTTGGGAGGCTGAGGTGGGAGAATTGTTTGAACCTGGGAAGCAGTGGTTGCAGTGAGCCAAGATCACACCACTGCACTTCAGCCTGGGCAACAAGAGCGAAACTCTGCTTCAAAAAAAAAAGAAGAAGAAGAAAAATGACTTTCAATAGATATGCAAAAACAAGTCAGTGGAGAACAAACAAACGGTGTTGGAGTACTTGGACATCTATATTCACAAAAATTAACATGGAACATGATAGCATCATATATAAAAATTAACTCAGAATGGATCACAGACCTAAATGTAAACTTTTAACTGGAAGACTGCCAGAAAAAAAACAGGATAGGCCAGGCGCGGTGGCTCATGCCTGTAATCCCAGCACTTTGGGAGGCTGAGGCAGATGGATCACGAGGTTGGGAGTTTGAGACCAGCGTGGCCAACATAGTGAAACCCTGTCTCTCCTAAAAATACCAAAAAAAAAAAAAAAAATTAGCAGGGTGTGGTAGCATGTGTCTGTAATCCCAGCTACTTGGGAGGCTGAGATAGGAGGAATTGCTTGACCCAGGCAGGCAGAGATTGCAGTGAGCCGAGATTGTGACACTGCACTCCAGCCTGGGCAACAGTGCAAGACTCTGTCTCAAAAACAAAAAAAGAAAAAGAAAAAAACAGAATAAAACCTTTGTGACCTTGAGTTAGGCAAAAAATTCTTATATACCATACCAAAAGCACAATCCATAAAATAACAAATTGATAAATTGGACAAAATTAAAAACTTCTGTTCTTTGAAAGACTAATAGAATGGAAAGATAAGCCACAGACTGGACAAAAATATTTGCAGAGCATATATCTGATAAAGAACTTGCATTCAGAATATATAAAGAACTTTCTTTTCTTTTCTTTTCTTTTCTTTTAAGATGGAGTTTCACTTTTGTTGACCAGGCTGGAGTGCAATGGTATGATCTCGGCTCACCGTAACCTCCGCCTCCCAGATTCAAGCGATTTTTCTACCTCAGCCTCCCGAGTAGCTGGGACTACAGGCATGTGCCACCATGCCTGGCTAATTTTGTATTTTTAGTAGAGATGGGGTTTCTGCATGTTGGTCAGGCTGGTCTCAAACTCCCGACCTCAGGTGATCCGTCCGCCTCGGCCTCCCAAAGTTCTGGGATTACAGGCACGAGCCCACCATGCCTGGCCCGTAAAGAATTTTCAAAATTCGGCCGGGCGCGGTGGCTCAAGCCTGTAATCCCAGCACTTTGGGAGGCCGAGGCGGGTGGATCACGAGGTCAGGAGATCGAGACCATCCTG